AAGCAATTGATTGATTGCCTGAAGACTAATCACCTGAAGGAGAGACCGGAACTGTTTGTGAGCGGAGACACCGTTAGGCCCGGGATTCTGGTGCTCATCAACGAAGTGGATTGGGATCTGTTGGGACGACACCACTATGTCCTCCAACCCAATGATCGCGTGCTCTTCATATCGACTCTTCACGGCGGATGACATCATACAAGACATCACTCGTGGGATCCGTCTCTTCGGCAACCATTCACTCAATTGTTGACTCTTTTTGTATAACAATTTGTCCCCAAAATTGTCAATTCATTGAAATGAATGCAAAAACAAACGCTTTTGTGAGCAATGAATCCATTGATTAACGATTCACTCAATGAATGCATATTTTATACGATATTTTAAATTATGAATAAATTGTTTGCATTAAACCCAATGAAAGCACATTTATTACTGTAGTATTCAATGCTATCACTAATATCTTAATATATTACATACTTATAGTGATATCAACAGGAATTGATGGTGTGGTTAATGAACACATAAATCAATTGCACATTTGTAACTAGAAGTTGATGAATGTATTTCTTTTTAAACCAATTAATTGTTTTAAAAATGAGTGCATTCACTTAATAAGTTTAAATATTGTGTTACCGGTATATCATTTGTTTGATACAAATCTATGATTTGTAACTTTAGTCCAATATTTATGCTATGTTAAGAAGCAATGTTCAAACATGAGATGTTATTTCAAATCTAATATCTGACAGTAATATTGTACTTATTATTTATATGAGAGAAAAAGCCATTGTAATCATATAAACCAAAACATCGATTCAATTAAGATTAGATGCTAAGAATAGGACCTGGTTCTTCACATTTTCATTGCCTTAATATTAACACATTTTTTGTTATGTAATAAAATTTCAATTTTGTAGTTGTTTTAAAGTTCATATAAATTTAATTTTTATAAACAACTTTTTATTATAAATGTTTACATAACTTTTTATCAGTTATATGTTTAATTTAATAAGTATGATTACTTTCTCATTCAATAAAGAT